CAATATACTAATCACTGAAAGGCACAATAAACTATAGCACTGAAAGTCACAATATACTATAGCACTGAAAGTCACCATATACTATACACTGAAAGTACAATATACTATAGCACTGAAAGGCACAATATACTATAGCACTGAAAGTCACAATATGATATAGCACTGAAAGTCACAATATACTATAGCACTGAAAGTTACAATATACTATAGCACTGGAAGTCACAATATACTATAGCACTGAAAGTTACAATATACTATAGCACTGGAAGGCACAATATACTATAGCACTGTAAGGCACAATATACTATAGCACTGAAAGGCACAATATACTACACCACTGAAAGGCACAATATACTATTGCACTGAAAGTCACAATATACTATAGCACTGAAAGTCACAATATACTATAGCACTGAAAGTTACAATATACTATAGCACTGGAAGGCACAATATACTATAACACTGAAAGTCACAATATACTATAGCACTGAAAGTCACATATACTATAGCACTGGAAGGCACAATATACTATAGCACTGAAAGTCACAATATACTATAGCACTGAAAGTCACCATATACTATAGCACTGAAAGTTACAATATACTAATCATTGAAAGGCACAATATACTATAGCACTGAAAGTCACAATATACTATAGCACTGAAAGTTACCATATACTATAGCACTGAAAGTTACAATATACTATATCACTGAAAGGCACAATATACTATAGCACTGGAAGGCACAATATACTATAGCACTGGAAGGCACAATATACTATAGCACTGAAAGTTACAATATACTATAGCACTGAAAGTCACAATATACTATAGCACTGAAAGGCACAATATACTATAGCACTGAAAGTCACAATATACTATAGCACAGGAAGTCATCATACTATAGCACTGAAAGTCACAATATACTATATCACTGAAAGGCACAATATACTATAGCACTGAAAGTCACAATATACTATAGCACAGGAAGTCACTATATACTATAGCACTGAAAG